AGAGGTCCACACGGCAGGACAGCCCGTATCAGGGAGAACCCGGCAAACCGCTCCCTCCCGGAGACCACCGTGATGACGGTGAGTCAGCAGAGCAGATTTGAATGAGGGAATCCATACCCGCCAAAACAGGACAAATGGGACCAGCTGAAAAGGACTCAGAATGAGTAATTTCAGAGTTACTTCTGCTTGCACCTGTGATCAAGTAAGTCTGCCATGCATATAACAACCACAGGCTGGACCAGGTAACTCGAGGCAGCCGTTTCAGGCACTGGGCTCCGAGCACAAGACCGCAGCCCCTGGAGAAGGAAAGTCAGGCATGAGCCCGTGACTGCCAGCTCCGCCTGGGACCGCTTCCTGAGGCACAGAAGGGAGAGCACAGGCCCCGTGAGCCCTGGAAGCAGAGACCAGAGCACGGGCTGCCGAAGCAGCTGGAGTCTGCACGCAGGGATGGAGGGACAGGCTTTGCACAGGGCCCGAGAAGTCTGTGTGTGGGCTCTCGGAGAACCCGTGACCAAGGGCTGGGCTGCACACGTACAGGGTGAGACTGCTCCAGGCTGGAGAAGTAATACTGGATACCAGAGACGCCAGAGGCCATGCCGCGCTGCAGGCTACAGAAAGTTGGCCCAGCCAGAGGGAAGAGACCTGGTGAGTGGCTCACTGACGTTCTGGACATCCCCCCGAGACTCCACGGAGGCGTCTCACCCTAGGAGGAAGGGCCACCCCGTGGAGGAAGGCCTGCTCTAGACCCGCCCAAAGAAAACCGAAAGTCAGAGCCTGCTGAGATCACAGGTGTGACGCGGTGTAGAGGTCGTGGCCCATTGAGACAGGCTGGGAAACACCTTGACATTCCAGAGGTACGGCCCCAACAACACATGAAGCCAATTCCCAGCCAGTAATTGACTGCCTCCTAGAACAAGGATCAACACTTTTCTAAAGATAACAGAATCCAGAGACTGCACAGTGCACTGTACACAATAAAAAATTATTAGTTATGTGGGGAAACAGAAAAATGTAACCCACAGTCAGGACATAAGACGGGCCAGATGTTGGGTTTAGCAGACAAATCCTTTAATGCAGGTATTAATAATACAAATATAAATATGTTCAAAAAGCAGAAGGAAAACAATACTAATGAGTGAACAGATAGGGAATCTCAGCAGAGAAGTAGAAACTACAAAAAATGGAAATAATAGAGTGAAAAACTATAATAACTGAAATGAAAAAATTCCCAGTTGAGCTTACCCGCAGATTGGAGAAGGTAGAAGAAAAGAGTCAGTGAACCTGAAAACAGATCAACAGAAATTATCCAGTCAGAAGAACAGATTGCAACAGGTGAACCGAGGCAAGGAACCGTGCCTTGGGGACCTGTGGGACAACAGTCAATGTTCCAGCACATGTGTAGCTGGAGTCCCGGAAGGAAAAGAGAGTGACAATGAAGCAGAAACGAATCTGACGATCTGACAAAAACATCATCTTACATATCTGGTATTTCAGCAAACCCCAAGTGGGATTTTTAAAAAAGGCTCCAAGGAGGGGCTGGCCCCGTGGCTTAGCGGTTGAGTGCGCGCGCTCCACTACTGGCGGCCCGGGTTCGCATCCGGGTGCGCACCGACGCACCGCTTGTCCGGCCATGCTGAGGCCATGTCCCACACACAGCAACTAGAAGGATATGCAACTATGACATACAACTATCTACTGGGGCCTTGGGGAGAAAAAGGGAAAAAAAAAAGGAGGAGGATTGGCAATAGATGTTAGCTCAGGGTTGATCTTCCTCACAAAAAAAAAAAAAAAAAAAGGCTCCAAGGAATACCATAATCCAAAGGCTGAAAACAACAGTTGGAGACAGAAACTCGAAAACAGAAAGGAGGGAAACACATGTCACATCCAAGAGAACCATGCTGAAATAATTCTTGACTTTTTATCAAAAACTAGAAAGACCAGAAGAAAATAAAACAACCTTTTCAAAGTGTTTAAAGAAGAGGGGCCAGCCTGATGGTGTAGTGGTTAAGTTCACATGCTCTGCTTCGGCGGCCCGGGGTTCAAAGGTTCGAATCCTGGGGGCGGACCCGCACACCATTCATCAAGCCAGGCTGTGGCGGAGGAAGACTGGCACAGATGTTAGCTCAGGGACCATCTTCCTCAAGCAAAAAGAGGAAGATTGGCAATGGATGTTAGCCCAAGGCTAATCTTCCTCACCAAAAAAAAAAAAAGCATTTAAAGAAGAAAAATGTCTGTAAACCCAGAATCCAATAACCAGTGAAAATATTATTCAAAAACAAGGGTGAGGCAAAGTCATTTTCAGATCAACAAAAGCTGAAAGAATTCATCACAAGCAGTCACGCATTGCAGGAAAAAACAAAGGAAGTCCTTCAGGCTGAAATAACACCAGATGGAAACTCGGATCTGTGGAGGAGAGAGAAGAGCCAGTGGGACTGGTAAAGACGTGGATAAATGCAAGAGACGATTGTTTTCTCTGCAATTTTCCTAAAAAAAAACCACTGGCTGCTAAAAGCAAAACAACCGCACTGTATGAGATGCGGTTTATCATATATCTAGAAGTAAAAGACATGAAAACAGCTGCACAGAGAGAGTGGGTGGGTGGACGGAGCGCAGCCTCACAGGGGTTTACGCTGGTGAAGTGGGCAGAGGTGCAGCACCGGCCTTACACGACTCCGGTGAGTGAGGAGGTATATTTAGCCCTAGAGCAACCCCCTCCCCACCTCCTGCCGGAGGTATAGCTGAGAAACAAAGAAGCCAATAGAGGAAATAACATAAAATTCTTTAAAAAGTCCCATTAACCTCAAAGAAGGCAGGGAATGAGCAGCAAGTGGAAACAAATAATGAGATTTGACAAATTCAAATTACACTAAATGCAAAGAGACTAGACACTCCAGTTAAAAGTCAGAGATTGACATACTAGATAAAAAAGGAAAACTGGGATATATATTGTTGGCAAGACACTCACTTAACAGCTGTGGTTTACACTTTAAAGATACACAGAGGATGAGAGTTGAAAGGATGGAAGAAGAAATGCCGTGCAATAGCGAGCACAAGGAACTGGGAGGCTCTATTAACATCCAGCACAGGAGGCCTCCAGACAACGGAGTCACCAGAGACCAAGAGGTCACAAGAAGACCACAAGCCCAAGCGTGTTACACAGGTTCCAAAGCACACTGAGCAAAGCTGAGAGGGCTACAGAGAGCGGGAGTGGACCCGCAGTCAGAGCTGGGCTCCACACTCCCCTCTCAGCAATTGTTGGAACAAACAGACAAGAAATGGGGAGACCACAGACCTGAGCCAAAGCATCAGCCAATATGATGGATGCTGACATGAGCAGCACAGACTCCTTCAAGAAGGAAGGACTGTGCCTTCAGCTGCCGGCAGGAACTCCTCAGTGTTCAACCCCCAGAGAGTGTGTGTCAGCTCGCAAACCTTCTACCAAAATACAACCACACAGCACCACCCCGGGGCCAGAGAGCTTCACTGGATTCTATCAAACATTTAAGGAAAACAGCACCAATATTACACAAATCCTTCAGAAAGCAAAGGAAAAAGAACACTACCCAACTTCCCAATTGATTTTACAAAGTCAGCATCACCTTGACATCAAAACCCGACAAAGATATTACAAAAGAAGAAAATTGCAGGTCAACATCCTCAGGAACATACACATAAAAATCTTTAACAAAACACTAGGAAATCAAACCTGGCAATACATAAGAAAGTGAATATCTCAGGACCACGTACAAGATGCAAGGTTGGTTCAACCCTCAAAAATCAATCTGTGTAACTCACCATATCAAAGAAGAAAAGAGAAAATTCACATGATCATTTTAATAGCTGCAGAAGAAATATCTGACAAAATTCAACCCCCATCCATGATAAAAACAACTCAGAAAACTGGACATTTAAAATGTGTGCAGTCTATTGTATGCAATTATATCTCAATAAAGTTGATCAGGAACAGAATTATCAGAGAAAAAGAGGGCAACTAGAAGTTATTTTTTAAAAATCAGGTAAATATGAAAACAACTAAAAGGATATTTTTGGAAATGAGAAATAAAGTCATTAAAATTAAAAAAAGATAGACTAAAGAGGAGAAGAAACAATTCCAGAATTGTAAAATAACTGAGAGCCAATAGAACGGAGGAAATCTGTCAGAACTCAGTGTGACTGCGCACAGGGCACAGGACCGGGAGGATGTGAAGATGGAGGGATGGGGAAGTGAGGGCCTCGAAGCATGGACGAGAAGCTCCCCATACATCCGAGTGGAATTCCAGAAGGAGAAACTGTTTTTTAAAAGGGTAAAAATCTCCAGATTTGAAGAGAGACGCATCTTCACACAGACAAGACCTCAGGCCAGGAAATGAAGGGTCCTGAGGACGCTGGTGCACTCCCCTTGCCCGCTGACGACTAGGCCTCCTTCCCCCATCAGGGGGCTCACGAAGGTGACAAAACCACACTTAATCATTCACAGGAGCGGATGGGGCAGGGTGGCTCTCCCCACACCCCTCCCTGCAATCTGCGCCCAGTCTCGAGGCCCTCCTGCTGCTGGCACCTGCTCTCCTGGGTGATCCTCTACACCTTCTCTTCTCTGCCCAGACTCCCAGTCCCCGTCTCCCAGCCTCTCTCTCACTTCTTACTTCTCCCAGAAAATGGAGTAATAGGAGGCCATTCCCACACATCTGCTCGCCCTGCAGGATTGATTCCCCTTGTCTGCGGGGGGATCTTCTGCAGCATCTCCATGTGCTGTGACACCACGCCAGGACAAAACAGAAGACACTGAGGAACCGAGAAACAGGCAGTGGCTTCACCCACTCATGGCCCCCGCCAGGATGGCACTTTCCCAGTTGTCCCACCCCATGCCTTCTCTCCTGTGCCTGCTCCAACAGGCCCTGCGCCTGCCTGGCGTCACTCTCAGCCCGCAGCAGCCCAGGACCCCTCCCGACAAGCCCTTTCTCCACTGGCTGGGACCCACGTCCTCCTCCCACTGCCTTGCCCCTTCCTTCTCGGCCTTTTGAGGGTCCCTCTGCCTTCCTGACCTCAAATGGGGTGCCACTTTGGGCTTGCTCCCTTTCTGGAGCCCAAGGAGACCTCCCGGTCACTGCTCTACAGCCCCCTATTCCCCATGCTCCAGACGCACATTTGCCAAGCCAGCTCACCTCCTCCACCGTCATCTCTTGCCCAAACTCCTGCCGCCAGCTTTGTGCACAGGCTGTTATCAACAGCAGCAGAACAATTATTTGACACCTCAAGACCCCTCCTCCATTCCAGCCTCTCGGATGCCCACCCCACCTCAGGATAACCCACGTCTCCGGGGCATCGACAAGCCCTCCTTCTAGCCTGTGCCCAGAGCTCAGCTCCTGGGGCTTCACCTTCCTCAGTCCCCAGTTCCCTCCCTTCAGTCTGGGCTCTGACTGAAGGTCAGCTTCTTGGGGGTCAGCTGGGATCACCCACCCAAAGGAGCATCCCTTCCCTCTCTTCTCTCCCCTCTCTCTGCCTTACTGGCCTTCTGCCTTGCTGGGTGTAGATGTAGGTGCAGGTGTAGGTGCAGGTGCGAGTGTGAGTGTGAGTTTGGGTGTAGATGTAGGTGCCGGTGTAGGTGCAGGTGCGAGTGTGAGTGTGGGTGTAGATGTAGGTGCAGGTGTAGGTGTGGGTGTAGATGTAGGTGTGGGTGTAGACGTAGGTGGGAGTGTAGACCTGTATGTAGGTGCTTTGGCCATGCCCCTTCACTGCGTGTTTCCAGGGTCAGTGCTTAGCAAGTGTGTGATGAACGACTCAGACCCAGTGAGGGCAGCAGGCACATGGTCTTGATCATCTCAGCGCTGGCCGGGGAACCGTGCTGCTCACCCTGACCTGTGAGTATTGCAGACACCAGGGGAGTGGATGCAGGCTTCATGGCGAGCTCTGGGCCACCCTGTGGAGCCACCTTGTGGGGCACAGGTGACCTGAGCCTCATGGCTGTGCTGTCCCCACAGGCTCGCAGGCCCTCGGTAAGGGGATGCAGGCTGCTCTAACTTTACATTAGCAAGTGGTGAAGGGCAGCCTAACCCTGCTCAGGGCACACGGACGGCTTTATCACTCAACAGCCATTCAAGCCCTGTTTGAACACAGGGGGCTTTTCCTGTTTGCATCACTTTTCGGGAAAATGAGTTGGATTTCATCCTTACCCCTTATGGTGCTGAAGGACCCTGCCCTAGCCCTCTCCAGCCCATGCACCACCCCTCTCTGAGGGGACAGCCCAGGACAGAGGCACACAGCTACCTGTCCACCTTCTCCAGGACCTCCACGATGCTGGTCAGCGGCTTCCGCAGGTGGTGCCTCAGGTTGTGCTGCAGCAGAGGCAGACATGTGTTCCACTGCGTGGTGCACACCACCTGGATGACCCGGGGGTCGCCCAGGCGGATGGCTCGCTGGAGCGTAATGTCAAGTCTCCGTATTATATTCAGCTGGGTCTGCACAAAAGACGTTGACCAGACTGAGAGACGAGTACCAGTTATCAGGCCTGCTGCGCATGCCCGAGCCCAGGAAGCATGAAGGCTAGGAGGCAGCAGGTGGGCAGGGCCCACGGTCTGAGTGTGTCTGTGGAAATGGTCTGTGTGATCTTTTCTACGAGGGACTGGTTGCCTTACAAGACACTTCCTTAAAAGGCTTGGAATGGGCTCTGCACAGCCATGCGAGTGTCTCTCTTCCGTGAACTGATTTGATCCAAGCCTGCTTGTTCCTTGGTCCTACATATTTATTGGGGCCTATGTCTCATTACATTTACTAACCAAACAACATCTCCTCCTGGCTGCGCTACACGCACCCTTCCCAGCAGACAGGCTCTGGTCCCTGCCTTCAGGACCTGTGGAACCAGCCTCACCAGCTCCACCCCTTCCTCAGAGCCCACAGGGCTGCCCACGGTTCTAATCTTGGCCACGTCCCATGGCTCTGGCTTCCAGCATGCTCGGGGCCTCTCCTCACACTGCTCCTGGGCCATGGGTCCAGGCCAGGCTTGGGACTCACGACTCCGTGCTACCTGGCTACTAAGATGAGTCCGTGAAAGCCTCAAGAACCGATGCCCGAAGCCCCTCCAACCGGTGCCCCCTGAAAAGCCCCCAGCCTCTGAGGTCCTCAGCAGGCAGAGGCAGAGGCAGAGGGACCATGTCACAGCCAGGCAGCCCCCCGCACCACATGCACAACTGCCTCTGTTGCAGTTTATGATCAAACGTGGGGGACAAAGTGTTCTCTATAAATCATCCTCTAAACAACATTTATAAGTGCCGACCATGCACCGGGGAGCGGCACGTGGCCGTCAGCAGTCAGAGCCCTCCCTGGAGCAGTGCAGCACTGGTGCGGCAGCCACGTGAGCAAGCCCAAAAGGACAGCAACATCTGCCAGGGGGCCATGAATGTGCACGGAGGGCCCGCTGAGGGCTTGGAGCCCAGAGCCCCTGGCCGGCGGCTTATCTCCCTGCAGAGTGCTCACAGCACAGGCCAGGTGGGTGACGTGGGGCGTGGACAACCCGGCCAGTTCCATGAGCTAATCCCAGGGAGCGCCCGCCTCGGCCCCAGATCAGCACCAGCCGCCACTACTCTGCTTCAATAGCTTTCTGTTCCTTTTTTAAAGCTTTAAAATTCTTATGAAAACACAGTCTCAATGATCTCCGGATTCCTTTTCTGGCAGTGGCAGCTGGTCCAGACCTACTGCGTTAGATAAACAGACACCAGAGTGGAGCTGAGCTCACGTCGTCGCTAACTCTTTGCCATCATGTCTAGACGGCTGCTGCTGTGCCAACTCGTCACCAAGACAGCTGCCTCCTCTCTAACTACAGATGGAACGTTCTAAACAAGTCTCTGGCTTCCAAATGGGGCAAATGGGGAAGAGTGGTTGCAGTGAGCTCAGCACGGCACCTCCTGGTGGGACTCCTCTGGACCTGCCTCCCCACCCATCCCCAGGGACCCCACCCGCTTCCCCACACACCCCGGGGCCCTCACTTCCCCACCCACCTGGGGTCCCCACCCACCACCCCATGCACCCCAGGGTCACCGCCTCCCCACCCAACCCCGGGGGGTTCCCGCCTCCCTATCAACCCTTGGAGTCCCTCTTCTCCCTACCCCTGTATCCCCAACTGCCCCTCATCCCTTGCAATGACCTCACCACATCCCCAGAGCACCTGGAGTTTCTAGGCCCAGTGAGGCTGATGGCCCTACACTACGGAAGGGGGTGACTTTTGCCTTCCTGGACGTGACTCAGGCTGGTAAAGGGCCCTCACGGGGAGAGGGTGGCTTTCACCAAGGGCAAGTGTGCGTGGGGGGTGGGGAGAGCAGTTCCACACAGGCTCAGGAGGGCTCGGCTGGAGGAAGGTCTCATCCCAGCCCCCAGCCTTCAGGCCAGCACACGGGCTGCGTGACCCCAACACACCCATGAGGCCAAGGTGGCCCTGGCAGCCGTGGGGGCCATGCTCCATGCCACAGAGGATGATGGTGGCTGGCCCTGGTGGCTCAGGTGCCATCCAGGCTCCTGGAGTTCCTGCCAGAGAGGCCGTGTTCACAGGTGGGAAACTGAGGCACATGGGGCTGGCCTCAAGCCCCTGTCACACAGGAGCCAGTGGCAGACCCATGGTGAGGCCAGAAGTGGGGTCCCTGCGATGTCCCAGCACCCTCAAACCTGGTACAGACTCAACTCTCACAACTTACAAGAAATCTGCAAACAGTTCAAGTGTGTACTCTGCCTCCTACTCAATATTTACCTCAACAGCCGCTCGGATATAGATTTTAATTTTATTTTCAAGTCTTAAAGCTTCTAATTCATACTCCAGGCATTCAATTTCAATCAGCTTCCCAGGATCCTGCAGGATACAAATAGTTTTTGTATACACAGAGATTTTTAACAAAAGCAATCATGCACATTCATTGACTTCAAAGACCATTTTAAAATACAATTCATGGACTAGGTAGAAATTTAACAAATAAAAATTATAAAATAATACAAAGATATATAAGAAAAACTCCAAAAGGTGCACAGATTTCAGCAAGAAAGCTACATTTTTTTTTTTACCTTTTTAATAGAGCAAAGATAATTTCATTGGACATTTAATTTTTAAATATTTACACCAACTTGAGACAGTGTTTCTGTTACGAAATTTGGCAGACGTGCTTCTTTTACTTAATCTCTGGCGGGGTTCGGGTGACAGTGCCCCGTGTGGAGGCGTCGGAGGTGGGAGGGGCAGCGGCCGGGATGTGTCGTCTGGGTGGGGTATGCCTAACGTCTCACAAAACTGCTAAACTGTTTCCCAAAGGGTTGTGCCATTTTACATTCCCACCAGCTGTGTACGAGAGTCCCAGCTTCCTCCACATCCTCTCCCACGTTTGGTATGGTGAGTCTTTTCATCTTAGCCATTCTAACAGGTGCGCAGTGGTGAGAAAATAGAATGTACATACTGGTCTCTGCCCCTGGTTCCAGTATAGGGCTCCTAAAACCCTTGTAATTTCCTAAGTGAGAAGAGCACTAGCGGCACCTTTTCTTCTATTGGGGCAACTCTAGGTCGGCTCCTGGATGGGGGCTGGTCACCAGAAGGACCAAGCCATGATTAGAAGCTTGGAATTCTCAGCTCCACCCCCATCCTTCAGAGAGGGGAGAGGAGCTGGAAATAGAGTTAATGATAGATCATGCCTACATGAGGACGCCTCCATAAAATCCCAATAGTACGGGGTTCAGGGAGCTTCCAGGCTGGTGAACACATCCACACTGGGAGGTGACGCACCCCAACTCCATGAGGACAGAAGCTCCTGTGCTCGGGACCCTCCCAAACCTCGCCCTGTGTGTCTCTTCATGTGGCTGTTTATCTGTATCCTTTAGCATATCCTTTAATAAACTGGTCAATGTTAAGTCAGTGTTTTCCTGAGTTCTGTGATCTGCTCTAGCAAATTATCAAACCTGAGGAGGGGATTGTGGGAACCCTGATTTATACAAGTGGGACAGAAGTGTAGGTAACCTGAGAACCTACTACTTATGATTGGCATCTGAAGTGGAGGAGCAGTCTTGGGGGCTGAGCACTTCACTGTGGGATCTGGAGCTATCTCTAGGTAGAGAGTGTCAGAATTGAGTTCAACTGTAGGACACCCAGGTGGGATCGTGGAGGATTTCCCCCTCCCTTGGGGAGGGGGAAAACCCCCACATTTGGTGACCAGAAGTGTCAGAAGGAAAGCATTCTGTGTGAAAGTAAAGGAGTGACATACAGGAGGTGAAAAACTAGGTTTTCCCAAATACAGTAGTAAACATCATAAGTAATGATACTCAGCATCTTTTTTTTTTTCTTTGCCATCCATATATCATCATTGGGAAAGTGTCTGTTCAGATCTTTAGCATTTTTTAAAGTTGTTTTTCTTGAGTATTGAGAGTTCTCTACATATTCTGTATAAGTCCTTTATCAGATATATGATTTGCAAACATTTTCTCTCAGTATCTGGCTTGTATTTTCACTTTCTAAACAGTATCATTCAAAGAGCATAAGTTCTTCATTTTAATAAAGTTTAATTTATCAATTTCTTCTTATATGAATTGTGCTTTTGATAACCTATCTAAGAATTCTTTGCCTAACCCAGGGTCACAAAGATTTCTCTTACGTTTTTCTCTAGAAGTTTTATAGCTTTAACTTTTGCATTTAAGTCTGTGATGCATTTTGAGTAATTTCTGTATATGGTGTGAGGTAGGGGTCACTGTTCATTTTTGCACATGTGGTTATTCAATTGCTCCAGTACCCTTTGTTTAAATAACTATCTTTTATCCACTGAAAGACTTTGCACCGTTATCAAAAGTCAGTGGACCCTGTGTTTGTGGCTCCATTCTGTTCCATTGGTCTGTGTGACTTTCTCCATGTCAATGTCACACTATCTTAACTACTGTGCCTTCATAACAGGTCTCCAAGTTAGGGAGTGCATGTCTTCTGACATTCTTCTGCTTTTTCAAAGTTGCTTTTAGCTATTCTAGGTCCCTTGCATTTCCATATAAATTTTATAATCAGTTTGTCAATTTCTGAAACACTCCTGCTGGGATTTTGGTTAGGATGGCATTGAGTCTGTTGTTCAATCTGGAGAAAACTGACATCTTAACAATATTGAGTCTTTTGACGCATGTTATTATCTTTGCTTTTAACAGCAATTAACTTTTGAAGAGATTTAAGCACTTTTTAAGTCTTTTATATTTACTCACGTAGTCGCCCTTTCTGGTGCTCTTCCCTATTTTGCGCAGATCCAGATTTCCACCTGGTATCATGTTCCTTCTGCCTGAAGAACTTCCTTTAACATTTCTTGTAGTGTAGGTCAGACTCTTTCAGATTTTGTATACTTTAATAAATCTTTATTTTTCCTCTGATTTTGAAAGATAATTTCTCTGAGTGTAGATTTCTGGGGTGACAATATTTTATTTGAAAGATGTTGATCCTATGTCTTTTGGCTTGTATTGTTTCCAACAAAAAGTCTGCTGTCATTCCCAGTTTTGTTCCTCAGCACATAATTTTTTACCCCTCTTTAAAGACCATCAAATTTAGGGGCTGGCCCCATGGCCTAGTTGTTAAGTCTGGCACATTCCACTTCGGCAGCCCGGGTTCGCGGGTTCAGATTCTGGGCATGGACCTACACCACTCGTCAGCCATGCTGTGATGGTGACCCACATATAAAGTAGAGGAAGATTGGCACAGCTGTTAGCTCAGGGCTAATCTTCCTCAGCAAAAAAAAAAAAAAATCATCAAATTCAGAATTTTGAACCATTATTTCTTAAAATATTTTTTTCTGTCCCCTCCTTTCTCTCATTTCCTTCAGGGACTCCAATCACATCCATATTGGTCTGCTTCACATCAGCGCACATCTCACTGATGCTTTGCATTTTCTTTTCAGTGCTTCTCCTCTCTGTTTCATTTTGGATAGTTTGCATTACTATATCTTCAAAAGTTTGCTGATCTTCTCTTCTGAAATGTCTAATCTGCTTTATTTTTTACTTGAAAGTTTTTTTAATTGAGGTATAATGACCAAAAAATTGCATATATTTAAAGTGTAAATGTGATGATTTGATAGATGTATACACCGTGAAATGATCATCATAGTCAAATAAATTAACATGTCCGTCACCTCACATAGCTGGGGTTTTTTGGTGAGAACGCTTAATATCTACACTCTTAGCAAATTTCAAGTATACAACACCGTTTTATTAACTATAGTCACACATTATTAACTATAGTCAGTACAGTTCTGTCCCCAGTATAGTTAGATCCTCAGAATTTATTCATCTTATAACTAAAAGTTTGACCCACGTTCTGCAGCTCCCAGGCCCTGGCAACCACCACGCTAGTCTGTTCTTCTGTCTGGCTTCTTTCACTTAGCATAATGCCCTCCAGATTCATCCATGTTGTCACAAATGGCAGGATTTCCTTCTTTCTCATGGCTGAATAATACTGCATTGTATATACATACATTTTATTTATCCATTCATCCATCAACAGACACTTACTTGTTTCTATATCTTGGCTATTGTGAATAATGCTGCAATGAACATGGGGGTGCAGATATCTCTTGAGATATTGATTTCACTTCCTTTGGATATATACCCAGAAGTAGGATTGCTGGATCATATGGTGGTTCTATTTTTAATTTTTTGAGGAACCTCCATATGGTTTTCCATAGTGACTGCACCACTTCACAATTCCACCAGCAGTGTATAAGTGTTCCCTTTTCTCTACATCCTTGTCAACACTTGCTATCTCTTGTCTTTTTGAAAACAGCCATTCTAACATGTGTGAGGTGATGCTCACTGTGGTTTTGATTTGCATTTTCCTAATGACTAGTGATGTTGAGCACCTTTTCGTGTACCTGTTGGCCATCTGAATATCTTCTTTGGAAAAATGTCTATTCAGGTCCTTAGCCCAATTTTTTCACTGGATTATTTGGGGGCTTTTTGCTACTAAGTTATATTAGTTCCTTACATACTTTAGATATTAACCCCTTATCAGATACATGACTTGCAAATATTTTCTCCCATTCAGTAGATTGCCTTTTCATTGTGTTGATGATTTCCTTTGCTGTGCAGAAGCTTTTTAGTTTGATGTAGTCCCATTTGTTTATTTTTGCTTTTGCTTTTGTTGCTCTAAAGAGACTGTCCTTTCCCCATTGTGTGTTCTTGGCACCCTTGTCAAAGATTAGTTGACCATATATGCCTGAGTTTATTTCTGGGCTCTATATTCTGTTCCATTGATCTATGTGTACGTTGTTATGCCAATACATACTGTTTTGATTACTATTGTTAGTGCCACTGAGGCAATTCCAACTCCTAGTGACACTGTGGACAGCAGAGTGGAACACTGTCTGGTCTTTTTGCACCATCCTGTCACCTGAGTGTTGTATCAGACAATGCTCTGCTGACAGTCACAGGGTTTTCATGGCCAATTTTTTCGGAAGTGGGGGCCAGCTCTTTCTTCCTAGTCTGTCCTAGTCTGTAAGCTCCGTGGAAACCCGTCCACCGTGGGTGACCCTGCTGGTATTTGAAACACCAGTGACACAGCTTTCAGCGTCACAGCAACACACAGCCACCACAGCGTGACAGCCGACAGCCGGGTGGTGTGATTCTCCAACAGGAAACGAACCCGGGCTGCAGCAGTGAGCGTGCCAAATCGTAACCACTAGACCACTAGGGCTGGCTATTGATGACAACAGCGTTGGGGCATAGCTGGAAATAAGCAAGTGTGATGCCTCCAACTTTGTTCTTTCTCGAGAGTGCTTTGGCTATGTGAGCTCTTTTGTGGTTCCATACAAATTTTAGGATTGTTTTTTTCAATTTCTGGAGAAATGCCAGGGGAAA